CTTGTTTATAGGAACAAAGTAGATCATAGTTAGTTTTGAAATAAGATAAATAATATTGCCCATTCATTTTGTATATCACTCAAATTACCAAATTACATCATACTCAGCTCCTCTAATAGCACCTATCTATACTCTCTAAAGCTAAATGGTTCTCTCTAATCACTATCACTTCCACTTCATTTCCTTTGTTGTCCTTGTTTTGGGATTTTGGGCATCTCAAGCCTTAGCTCGTCCTCTTGACCTTCACAAATCCTTATTAATAAGAAAAAGACACGAGGAATGGATGACTCAATATGGTCGCATTTACAAGGATGGGATAGAGAAGGAGAAACGTTTCAACATATTTAACAAAAATCTCGAATCCCTACCTTATAAAAAGTGGGAAGTTGTTCTTATGAATAGTGCACGGATCTTTTTACCCTTCAAAATGTTTATTTACGTTCTTATCCCTTTATAATCCCTACCCATTAATGAGTTTTGCGCTTTAATTTCTTATCTTCTTAATCTTTATTCACCATCCCTGAGTAGAAGAAAACCCAGAGAAGATGAAGCACAACCCAAAAGTGCGCCAATCAATGCAATGGAGGCTATATTTAATTTATTGCACAACATCTTACGTTGTCAATCTGTCATAGAAAGCGTAAAATAGTACTGTACTTGAAAATGATTTGTAATAATTATTCCCATAAACCATAATTGTAACTCTTTTCAAATTCCGTGCATTAGTTTCCTATTATCAATTCAATTCTAATTAAAACCAAGCTCAAGAATAGCTAGAGTTTGTAACTTGCAAGAGTTTTTTTTTTTTTTTTTTTAGGAAACTGATAGTTCTTTTATAATTCCAACAAATTATATACTTGGCTTTCCTATTTCTCCTTAATCTTAATGTCTCTTTCACCTTTAAAAAAAGGTTAGTACTATTGTTCAATGCATTATTTCACACGGCGACTAGCAAGAATTTGAAGTAATAACTACTACCTTGGCAACCAAGCTAATGTACTTTTAGATTGCATCAACAACATCCCTAACTATACTTCGGATTCTACAGTGGGCTATCAAAGCCATTTCCTTTTCCTAGACTCTACTAAAACAACTTAGCAACAACATGAATAAGTACACAGTGTTTCTTCATACAAGAACACTGCCACATACAACATATTATGCTCAATGTTTGGTTGTAATTGTTGCTTTTGAACCTTTTTTTTGTAACATTTTCAAGGTTATGGTTTAAGAATATTATGCGTTAGGTTAGATGCTTTAGTTGTTCCAATAAACCTTAAAACTATGGCCTAAATTTGTAAGGCTTAATAAAAAAAAACACTTATTTTAAACATAGTAATCGTCCACAACTAAAGTAATCGTTGTTCCACCCAAACACTACCAAGTTTTAGCTATACTTGTGATAATTATGTACACATATGATAAGTGGATATTGTCATTCCTAAACACAAGCTGAAAAAAGCTAACTCGAAATGGCTAGCCATTTCGCGCGCAACGCGCGCGTTGACTGCCCTAGTATATATAGTTTCAAAACCAATAACCAAAACCAAATTAAATCTTACAACTTGGAACCCTTAAGGCCATTATTCAAAACTGAAACCAATAGAAATAGTATGAAAGCAAATTGAGTTTAAATAACTTTAAATGTAAATAGTAAATAAAATAAGAAAAGCAACTAACTCTCCACTCAAGATCCCACCATCTAGAAATAGGTGATGCATGTGTAAGAACCTGTGGTTAATCTGCTCCACAATATTACAAGTGTAAAAATTTGGTTCGTCACAGGGTCATTGAAAGGCGAAGGCCGTGACCAAAGAAAGACACACGCAAAATCACGCAATCAGCAAAGCTGAGTACATACAAGCTGCGAAATAAATTAAGAAATACCTAACATGCTACTATTAATCAAACATAAGTATCATTAAAATTATAGACTGAACACATGACTCAATTATCAAATTTATTAAGACTTCACTAGTTCGTCCCCTTGACCTTCACAAATCCTTGTTAATAAGAAAAACACACGAGGAATGGATGACTCAATATGGTCGCATTTACAAGGATGAGATAGAGAAGGAGAAACGTTTCAACATATTTAAGAAAAATCTCGAATCCCTACCTTATAAAAATTATAGATTCAACACATGACTCAAGCCTTAGCTCGTCCCCTTGACCTTCACAAATCCTTGTTAATAAGAAAAAGACATGAGGAATGGATGACTCAATATGGTCGCATTTATAAGGATGAGATAGAGAAGGAGAAATGTTTCAACATATTTAAGAAAAATCTCGAATATATAGAGAATTTTAAAGGTAATAATAATTCATCAAACAAAATGTTCAAATTAGGTGTTAATGCTTTCACTGATTTAACTAATGTGGAGTTTATTGCCACGCATACGGGTTATAAGAGGCAATTTCATTCCATATCCAATGGCTCGATAACAACGGAGTTCAGGTATGAAAACCTTACCAATTATGATATATCGCCTTCAATGGATTGGAGGGAACAAGGAGCTGTTACAGGGATAAAGTACCAAGGACAATGTGGTATGAAATTAAACAATAAGATACTTTATATGGATTTTTTCTTAAAATTGATTTTATTACTTATTATGCTTAAAAATTACAGAGGGTTGCTGGGCATTTTCGGCAGTTGCAGCCGTAGAAGGACTAAATAAAATAAAATTTGGACAATTAATCTCACTATCAGTTCAAGAACTCATCGATTGTGTCCAAGAAGACGGTTGTGGTGGAGGTGATGTCTCGAAAGCTTACACGTTAGTCCAACAAAAAACCAAGGCATAACAACTGAAGAAGAGTACCTATTCACTGAGTACTACGACTATCAGGGTCAATGCCAAGCTAGGAATGCTGGAGGCAATACAGTGACAATTAATGGCTATCAAAATGTTCCTCAAAACTACGAAATATCTCTAATGCAGGCCGTTTCCCAACAACCTGACTTGGCTGGCATCGACACTAGGTCTGCAGAGTTTAAGAGCTACAGCGGGGGAATTTACTACAACCCAATGTGTGGAACCTCTTATTACGATTTAAATCATGTTGTTACTATTATCGGGTATGGTTTCGACGACGCCTATGGGACTAACTATTGGTTGATCAAAAATTCATGGGGAGAGAATGGTTATATGAGAATTGTCAAAGATCAAAATGAATGTGGCATTTACATGGGAGCTTCTTATCCTATATATTTTTTATTTAATTAATTGATATTCATGGAAGAATGTTGAAGTATGTAAGTCAAATTAGTGGTTAGTTAGTTGCCAGTGTTTAGGAGCAATTGTTAGTCAGTTGCAATTAAGCCTAATATTTAGTTTTGCTTTGCTGGTTAAGTTGATAGATTGTTATTATAATTAGTGCTTGTTATTATTACTTTAAAAGTTTTAAGTGCCTGTTTTTTAATTGACAAGATGTGTCTATGTTATTCTTAAGTAAACTATATTTTAAAATTTTAGTACACCTACTTAATTGAATACAAAGATCAAACATTATAAATAGTATACTACTAATCTAATCATATTTTAAATTTTTAATGGGTCGTATATTTGCATCATTGTAACTAGCTTGAAATATATTTAGAGTAAGGTCAATGGTTAACTATTAAGGATACTCTAAAGTCTAAAACAACACTTCTAATACAATCTGATTTATATGATCTTCTAAATCTTATTTAAGAAGAAAATTATGATCTTAAACAGATAGGATGTTTTTCCCTTTTTTCGAAAAACTATATATCTCTTATAAAAAGGATGATTATTTAATCATATATAAGCCAATTATAAAAAAATGTACTACGTTATATTTCTCTCTTTGTGAATGAAAGAGAGTAGATAATTCCTTAGATTATCTACGCCAAATAAATATATGTATGTATATACTCAACTTTGGAAGCACTGTGTTTTAGGCGTGACTTAGATTTTATTGGCTTATATGTTTTGATGGAGTGTTTACGTGTGTTCTAGAAGATTTCAAATAATATCAAGCACAAGATTTTATTGGCTTATATGTTTTGGTGGAGTGTTTACGTGTGTTCTAGAAGATTTCAAAAAATATCAAGCGCAATTAGTATGTACTTGCTCATAAATTCATAATTACTCTAAAATTTTCTACAATATTGTATCATAAAATAAAAAATTTGATATTTGATATACTTCGTAGTTTGTATATCTTGTACGAGTAAGAAAATAGACATTAAGGTCAAGATATGGAAAATTTACAACAATTCCCCTACTTTTCTCTCAACCAAATCAAGGAGTTCGAAGTTGCAAAACTGAATTGGTTTTGGATTGGAGCAAAAAATCAGGTAATTTTCCTTATAATAAAAAAGCACGTCATCGAGTAGAAACTAATAAAAAGAAAGAATGCAGTGGAACCGTGTTTTTTTTTTTAATAGCAAAAATATTTCATTAATTAAAAATCATACGATATCTATTCGACGTTAACAAATACATAAGATATTGAATCAAATAGAATTTCCCTTCATAAAAACAACGATCGTCGAGTAGATCTTGCACTGAGGAGCATCTCCCACTTATATCGCTGAAAATTACAGCCTTGTTGGAGAGACAATATAACGATCCTTTGTAGCCGTGAGGATGTTTTCCTTCTGATTTATCTGCCCGTATTCGAAAAAATTGATAACGTTTTCACCAACGAAATAATTTCACGACAATCCATTAGATCTGCTACCATGAATTCAAAACTAAGAAATTTCTCCGAGGAGATAAACCTTGTATTTCGAAGGAGGTCGAAAAACGAGAAAAGTTCGTCCTAAAGGAGAAAGCATTATTATTAGGGTTTTTGGAGTGAGAAAAGATGATTAGTTTTGCATATTAATTAAGCTAATCCTTGAAGTCCAGTGGAACCATGTTAGTGTAACGACTATTCCTCATTTCTTGATTTATTGACCTTGCATCTCACGTGAGGAGGAGAATTTGGTCCACAAATTAGGCTTTGGAGCTTTCATACTAAAACCAATTGACAATAGTAGGAGTAACTCCTCTACCTTATAAAGTGGAACCAACTCTCATCTTTCTCCAATGTGGGACACTCACAAGTGGAATACAATGGGTTTCAACAACTACAAAATAGAAAATACTCCTTAATATTTTTCATTTTATAAAAAAAATTATGTATATAATCTGAATTTGACACAATAAAAAAAATAAATAAATAAAGGAATAGAGGGGATAATTGTATATACTACTCCGTACCTTATTAACATTGACATTATTTACTTGTGATATTTCGAACTATATCTCTACTAAATATGTAAACCTTTTTTTTTTTTTTTGTTTTTTTTTTAAATGTAATTATGTAAGTTATTATTGAATTTGTCAATGGATATACCAATTTTACACGAGTATTATTTATTACTTTAAATAATTAAATAAGTGTATAGAGTATATATATACTGTATACTGACGAGTCATGCTTTCTTGATTAAGGACTTATTCTTATTGCAGACCATTTGAAAGGAATCTAATAATTAATTACGGAGGAAAAGACGGAAGACAAATTATCATTCTACGTCAACTATGTAGTGTAGTTTCCATGAACTGTAATGTAATTTGTAAAACGTACAGATTGGTTAAGAAAAATGTTTACTTTTCATATTAATAAATGCCTACCTCTATAACTATATAAGATAGACACATTAATACCATTTTGTGCATCCAACTTCACAATTAACATTTATTATCTCACAACATATATATACTATACACCTTCTCTCACAATCTTAACTTCTTAATGGCTTTCGCAAACCAACCTTTCCAATTCTTATGCTTAGCCTTAGTCCTTATCTTGGGGTTTTGTGCTAACCAAGTCTTGGCTCGTCCTCTTGACCATCACAAAGCTTTGTCTCTAAGAGAGAGGCATGAGCTTTGGATGGCTCGACATGGGCGAGTCTACAAGGATGTGATAGAGAAGGAGAAGCGTTTCAACATATTCAAAAAGAATGTTGAACGTATAGAAAATTTCAATGCTAATGCATCATCAATTAAACTATACACATTAGGTACTAATGCCTTTAGTGATTTAACCACTGAGGAGTTTGTAGCAACCCACACTGGTTATAAAAAGCGATCTCATTCCACATTTGGTGGTTCGGTCACAACGAGGTTTAGGTATGAAAACCTTACTGATGCTGACATCACGCCTTCAATGGATTGGAGAGAATTTGGAGCTGTCACAGGGATAAAGAACCAAGGGTCATGTGGTATGAAATCAATTGAGAAATATCTTACATAATCCTATTATCACTACGTACACTCTCTGTTCCAAATGTTTTTATGGTAGTCATCCTTATTAAATGTCTAAAACTATACTCGATTTTGATTGGCTAATTTTGTTTTTATTTGTTTTTTGTTGGTCAAAATTATTAAAAAATGATTTTCCTTTTTTAGAAACTGATATTTTACTACTCCGTATGAAATTAAAAAAGATTTTCGAAAATTATAACAATTCATATTTGAAATAAAGAAATGACCGAACTCTTAGAAAGAATAACAACCAACTTTTATATGTGGCTGGTCATACCTTCGGCCAACTATAATGGGGGTAACTTCATTAGTGTTATAAGGGTTACTCAATTAGTGTTACAGGGGTTAATCGGTCAATATTTATAGGTTACTCGGTCAGTGATATAAGAGTTATTTTGTTCTTGTACAAGCGGCCACATAGTATTGCGAGCTACATACAAAATGAGTTGAAAGAAAAATCATCTTTAACAAGTTTGACCGACAATAAAAGTGAATAAAAAATCAGCCAATCAAAATTGAGTATTGTAGTATTATTCATTTTAAGGATGGCTATTGTAGAATTTTTCCCCAATTCCTTTTTTAATTTTACACAATTACACTTAGACATTTTTTTTGTCTCTAAACTTAAATGTGTTTCTGATCATGTTTTAAAATTTTGTAGGGTGTTGTTGGGCATTCTCAGCAGTTGGGGCAATAGAAGGGCTAAACCAAATAAAAACAAGACAATTAATCTCACTTTCAGAGGAAGAACTTGTTGATTGTGTACAACCACCAAACGGTTGTGCTGGCGCTGCAATGCAAGCAGCTTTCGAATTCATCCGAAACAACCAAGGCATATCAAAAGAAGACGATTACCCATACACTGCAACCAACGGTGTTCCGAGTCAATGCCAACCTAAAACAAGTGCTGTGTCAATAAACGGGTTTGAATCAATTCCACCTAACGACGAGACTGCCCTGATGAAAGCTGTTTCTAACCAGCCTGTCGCGGTTGGGCTTGATGGTAGCGGGTTTGATTTCTTACAATACCAAAGCGGAGTCTTCCATGGAGAGTGTGGTAATGACATTACTCATGCTGTTACTGCTATCGGGTATGGCACTAGTACTGATGGGATCGATTATTGGTTGGTGAAGAACTCGTGGGGTGAAAGTTGGGGCGAAAATGGTTATATGAGGATTATTCGAGGACAGAATAAATGTGGTCTCACATTGGATGCTTCTTATCCAGTATGATTTACGTCAAAAGGATGATCTACTAGATGCATTTTACAATTTTACATCTCTTTATATGAGATTACTTGAGTTTTGATTGGTTACCTAGCTATGGAGTATTAATTCTATTATGATTGAATGAGGCTATGTTTTAAACTTTTTGTAATGTTATATTACTTCAAAAGTCCTACTTCGGACATTCATTTATTTTATATTTTCTTCAAGTTGTTAAGCATGCAATGTATGCATGGATTGTTTGTGTGTTAAAATTATGTATTTGGTTGATTTCTATAAAGATTGAATATAGGAAAAAATAGTACTTTCTCCGTTTTTTTATTATTGCACCATAGATATTGACATACTTTTTTCAGTTAGTGGGAAAACGGAAGAGGTAGAAGGGTAAAATTACAAAGTTTTTCATGTGATGTAAACATAAACTAAAGAATCAAGTGGCAAAAGTAAGGACATATTGGGTATTTGTAGTGTGAACAAGATATTTTGTTTTCTAAAATGGAAATAGTTCAATATTTGTGTGAAGACATGAAAAATAGTAAAGTGGCAGAATTAGAGGAATGTTCCCACGTTTTAGGGTAAGCTTTCATTCATTTTCCTTAATCTCCAAGAAAGCAGGACATCAGAATATATAACATGGTCCTCTGACCTTACAAAGCAAGACAAGTGTCACTAGAATCATCCTAGGAATTACAAAACAAAATAGCAACTAGAAAAAGACAAAAAGGACAACTAATAATGACAGCACACACACAGACCACTATTATCACCATATTACTACCCTTTAATACTCCCCCTCAAGCTGAGAGGAAGGAGACTGAACTCCCAGCTTGGCTAGAAGCTTTTGTTGTAGAGCAACAGGCAACACTTTGGTGAACAAGTCTGCAATTTAATTTAAACCGGAGACATAAGTTGGCTTCATAGTACCATCTTTCACCTTATCACGAATGAAGTGGCAATCAATTTCAACATGTTTGGTTCTCTCATGTTGCACAGGGTTTGCAGCAATTGATAATGCTGCTTGATTGTCACAGCAAAACACAAGAATGTTGTCTTTCACCTTGATTCCCAGTTCTTTAAATAATAGTTTCATCCACATAACTTCACACACAGTTAGAGCCATGGATTTGTATTCGGGCTAAACTTGATCAAGGATTTGGCCAAGTTTAGTTGTTCGCCTGATATCTTAGTAAACCGCTAAATGATCTGCATGATATTAGTACCGGCTGTAGACGAAGCCTGAAAAAAGATGAGAGTGTCATCCGCGAAGAATAAATGCGAGACAATATGACTCATTCTAGACAACTTGATTCCTTGAAAAAGCTTGAAATCCTGTCCAAAATGCAACATACAGGAGAAAATATCCATGTAGAATAGGAAAAGGCACGGGGAGATGGGGTCACCCTGGCGAAGACCACATTGTGGTTTAAAGGTGTCCGAAGTAAAACCATTAATCAAGGATTTGTAAGAAACCGTGGAAAGGCATTGTTGGATCATCAGTAACCAACGGTCCGAAAACCCATAGGCTTTAGAAACCTGCAAAAGAAAACTCCAGTGAATTTTGTCATAAGCTTTGTTCATGTCATTTTTGACCGACGCAAGCCAATTAGTGCTAGTTTTTGAACAATTGATTTTCTCCATTAACTCATGATTCAACAAAATATTATCCGTCATAACGCGACCTTGATCAAAGGCATGATGAGAATCTAAGATGAGAAGAGGAAGATACTGGCGCACCCTGGCCACCAAACACTTGGAAGCACATTTATACACTGTGTTACAAAGGCTGATCGGACGTAAATGCCCCACCTCTGTTGGTGTACCAATCTTAGGAATCATAACAAGAAGGGACTGATTCCATTCTTTCAGTAGATGCTCCGTGTGGAAGAAACTCTGAATACCGAAAACAACCGAGTCGCCCACAACATCCAAGTGAGATATGAAAAATTCGACTGTAATTCCATCCGGACCCGGAGATTTACTGTTCCCTAAAGAAAACATTGCACTTCGAATCTCATATGCAGAGAAGGGACGATCCAGGTTTGCAAGTTGGGAAGTATTGAAACATGGTAGATCTTATTCATGTAGAAAAATGTCAATTTCTGGATCATAAGAAAGCATGGAATCATAGTGGAAGGTATCTTTTAAGGATTTCACCACCACATGCTAGACATCTATCTAGCCATGCTGAAGAGTTCCTTGGTCATCAAATAAGGAATTAATCTCATTCTTCTTTTGCCGACTTTTGACCTTGGAGAACAAAAGTTTAGATGGACAATTACCTTTAAGTATCCAATTTTTCTTACAACGTTGTCTCCAGAATTGCAGCTGCAATAAAACACTATCTTTTGAAGTAACACTACAAGAAATAGGTCCATTTCCGACGTACACGAAAATCCGTCACAAATCGCATAATTTACGACGGAATTCATACAACATTGACAGAAATTTCGTGGGAAAGTGTATTCCGACGGATTAAAATCCGTCGGAAATTATTTACTTTCCGACCGAAATTTATGCCGTAAAGGCATTTGAGTATTTAAAAAAAAAACAAAACGGCATATAAATACCTAACCCTAAAGCAACCCCTTATGCCAAATGTTCCCCTTTTTCTTTTCTCATCCCCTTATAGCCGTACTCTATGTCTCTCTCTTCATCACTCCCTCTCTCTCTTCATCTATCTTCTCTGTTTCTTCCTCTCTTCTCTTTATCTCTCCTCTCTTCTCTTTATCTCTCCTCTTTCGCTGCTACTCCCTCTCTTCTCTCGCCATACTCCATATTTTTTTTAACTTCTGGCCAAGCTAGCCCATGAAGCATCCCCGACATTTTTTTATATCAAATTTATGGTTTTAAGGTCAAGTTCGACCATTGAAACGCTAGATCTAGCGTTTTCATGGTCGAATTTGGCCTTATATAACCATATTCAAGGCTAAATTTGGTGGATTGTGGTCGAATTTTTGTGGTAAGTGCAGATCAATTGTTTTTTTCATTTATTTTCAATTTTTTTGTTCTGAATTTTTTTGATTCAGTTTTTAGTTTTTTTTTTTTTTATTTATTTATTTTCTGGATTTTGGTTTCTGGTACTGAATTTATTTGGTGAAAATAATTTTTTTTTATTTGTTTTCGGGTTTGGGTTTTGTGTTGGGATTTTATTTTATTTTTCTTTTCTTTTTGTTAATTTCTGGGTTGTAATGGTTTGTTAGGCGGTGGAGGTGGTGGCTTTAGGTGGTTGGTGGGGTGGTTCACGTAGGTAAGGTGGTAGATCTGGGCTTGTTTGTGTTGGTTAGGGACTTAGGGTTAGGTGGGTATGGGTTCTCGTGGGTGCGGGTGTGGGTGGTGGATCGGGTTACGGGGAGTGGTGATATGGGTTAGGGGTGGGCATGTGGTGGGGGTGGTAGCTGGTGGTTTGGGCTGGTGGTGGGATGCTTTTTTTTTTTAGATAATTTTCCCACGGATTTTCCGCCGCAACTTTCCGAGGAAATTGTGTCCGTCGAAGATTTACGACGGATTTATACGGTGCTGGAAAACCTCTTCCGATGACCAAATTCCGTCGGAATAGTGTTTCCAACGGAATTTTCCGTTCGGAAGGGTCCGTTTTCCTACGAACCATTTTCCGACAACCCATTCTGACGAAATTCGTTTCTGACGGATTTTGGGGTTCTTCTGACGGAATTTTTCCGTCGAAAATAGGCTGTTTTTTTGTAGTGTAACTATATTGGACAAATAGAGAGAGGCATCGGAAACTGACTGGACTAGCTCTCCCTCGCTAGCAAGATCCTTCGAATTTTTTTTCCAATCTATGCCCCAAAATTTCTTATTGTTGAGACACCACCTCTTAATGAGAGATTTGACGTGTTGCAGATTATTAGAGATAATGAACATTGGCGAGCCATTGATGTTCCTTTGCCAAGTAGTAAGGACAAAGTCATGCATATCCTGATATTCCAAACACCAATTGTCCAGTTGGTAAGGACGGTTTGAAAGATGTATAAATGGAGAGTCGTCAAAGAATATAGCAACATGATAAGATATTAGAATCGGTTGATTGAGTAACCGACTATTTGGATAATTATGAAACCAATCATAAGTCATGTAAGCCCGATCCAGTCATTGTAAAATAAGTTTAGCATCATCCCTATTATTCGTCTATGTATACGGAGGACGACCTTTAAAGGGGGTAGCAAGTAAACTCGATTTCAACCTAAAATCAATAAAGGAGTCCCAACCATTAATAATATTATACCATCCTAGCCTATCATAGTGATGCTCTATTTGATTAATACCTCCAATAATAAAAAAAATTAGGAGCAATAGCAAGTAAATCTAAATTCAAACCCCAAACCTGAGGTCTATCTTCAAGAACAGGAGCACCATAAACAAACATCACACATTTTCTAGTTCCATTAGTATGTTTAACATTACAGAGTACAACATTTGAACAGCCAAAAACACAAGAAACTTCTTCCGAACCATAACTAAAAACAACTAAACCCCCGCTAGTACCTACTGCATCAACCCCAAAAACTGAAGTAGGACTAGAAATACTAAGTAAACCAATCACAACTGCCACAGAGACCTTGGTTTCACAAAGAAACAAAAAGTTAGGAGCAAAAGAGTGTAATAGCCAAAACACATAGGGAAGTTTAGGCGAATTTTGATCATTTAATTAGGCCCCGGCAATTCCAAGATGTGATCTTCATAAAACCTTAGGGAGCTGTGTGGGCCAGGTGCTGAACCGTAGTTAGTTGAAAAACCAGAAGACAAAGTCGGTGAAGTGGTGGAGTACCAACATTAAACTTAGTAGAAGAAAACCCCTCCTTTGAGTGCTTGAGAATCTTGAAGGAAGAAGAGCTGATAGAATCTTCCACATTCCTCTTATTGCCAATAGATGAGTTGTTCCCAGAAGGACGGCACGCAAATGCTGCAGAAGCGCAGCCCAAGTGAGCAGCTAAGGACACATTCGAACAACTCTTGTGAATAGGCGGCCCACGCGAACTAGAAGCAGGCAAGGTAAACGCATCTTTGCTATGCAAATTTAGAGCTTGAATTTTGAGTCTTTTTTTAAGACCAAGTTGACCCATAGTAGCTAAAGTAAGGATCCTGATTATATGATCTGCATCGATGGAAAGCACTCGAGCAAGCTCGTTTTTGAGGCCCATGCTCAGAACATGTAGATGAAGCCTGGCCCGTGTCTTTGTTAACCTGCGGCAAAGGAGCAGCAGTAGCTCCATCAGAGGAGTTAGAAGCCTCTTTATTTTCCTGCAAAGAAAGATTTTGAAACGTAGGTGGTATAGAGGTTAAAGCAGGTAAAATATATTGCTCCAAACAAGCGTCTTCATCTTCGTCTGAGCTACTCGAAATGAAGCTTTCTTCCAGAGCTACAGACATACAAAATCCCCCACCGAAGGTGTTGCTTGGCTAGGGTCGAGTAAAGGGGGCATAGGGGTCGCCCTCTGGGATAACAACCTTGTGCTGCTGCTGTCGCGCCTCCTCTGCTCGATTCCGCTCAAGGAATCTTAATGAATGCGGGTTGTGGTAGGATTCCGAAGTAGTCGGGTCTGTTTCAGAGGAAGAGGCGCTCGCATTCCCTTGTTCAAAAGCAGAGCCATAAATAGAATGCTCCGATGAAGAAGAAGAACCCCCAATAATTGGATGTACTGTGACATATATCCATTCTCATAAACCCCATTAATTGGAATAAAATCCGGTTCAATATTATCATTATCGTCACCATTAGGAGCAGCAGCGTTCCCATTGCCATTTTGCTGATCATCGTCCCCTGCACCAGAAT